ACTGCCTGGGCCCTCCGTGGCCTCGTGTGCAGAGCGGCAGGCGGCCCTCACTCTGTCGCGCAGACTGGGACACACGCACACCTCGGAGGAGATAACTCGATGCGGCTGAGACGTGGCGTCAGGAGGGAGGCGAGGGAAGGGGCGGGTTGGCCGTGACGGGCAGCTCTGACCACCGCGCAGCCGAGGACCAGGCCGGCTCTGTTCCAGGGCTGTGGGTGGACAAGGGTCAGACGCCCTCGCCGAGTCTGTCCAGGGACCGAGGCCACAGAGAGCACGAGGCCAGCCCCGTGGCCACAGCGGGAGGGGGGTGGAGTTGCTCCTCGAAAATTAGAGTCAGGACGCCCGTCTTAAAGGGCTTGAAAGAAACGGTCCCCCACGCCCTGCCCCCTCCAAACTCCGTTCACCAAACACGAAGACGGCCGTGAATTCAGACTCGCTGCCCTTACGAGTGAGCCCCGACGTGTGCGGACGCCCCTCCCCGTTCGCCCAGCGCCGTGCCTTCTGCAGCGTCCAGATGCCGGGGCCGGAGGGGCGTCCACGCCCGGTGAGGAACAGTCTCCCGCGGACATTCCCTCCGCACGCCCGGAAACGTCTCTGCGCCTTCCGCTCCTCTGTTCTTGTTTTCTCGTGAGCGAACGATTTCCACAGTGTTCCCCCAAGCTTTCTCCAGTTTCTCCTCATTCTCTTAAAAACGGGGTGGGGGGACCCCTTGAACTGAACATTCTAGTAAAAACCTCGCGGAGCCCTCGGCCCCGTGTGAGACAATCGGCACCTCAGTCCTGCAGCCTCCCAGCCCCTCTCGACTCTTCTCAGCGGGAGGGAGGCCTAAAGAAGAGGTACGCCCCGTCTGTGGGGCGTCTGCGAGGGGCCACGCGGGCCTCTGGGATCCCTGGCGCGGTCACGTCTTTAGGTAGAAACGGTCAGTGCGGGTCTGACGTTTTCTCAGTAACTACGGATGTGATGGTCTAATTTCTCACCTTTCAGCTACAGAGTTAGTCATCTTTTTTTTTTTATCCTCATCCGAGGACATTTTTGCATTTATCTTCAGATAGAGCGGGAGGGGGGGGAGACAGAGAAACATCGACGTGAGACACATTGACTGGTCGTCACCCACACGACCCCAACCAGGGCCGGGGACAAACTGCCACCGAGGTACGTGCCCTTAGCGGGAACTGAACCTGTGACTCCCCGGTCCGCGGGCCGACGCTCTAACTGCTGAGCCAAACCGGCCAGGGCAGGGTTACTCATCTTACCGACAGACTGAACTTCATGTCTAATCATCAGCTCCGTGGTCAGAACATGAAATGATGTAGCTCAGTTCTCACCAAGCTCTTGAGAACGGCCCCCTCCACTTCCAGGGCCCAGCGGAGACCCCGACATGGCCATGTCCATGTCACCTGCGTACGCCGTGGTCCTGGCCGCACCAGCCAGGCGGGTCCAGGCAGCCCCCAGGCGCCCCTGGGAGCCCGGGCACAGCACGGTGCCCACGATCCACGGCCACGGGGGAGAGGGCCACCCGTCTGAACAGGACACTTCCCTCCGGCTCAGCCCAGGTCAGCAGGCCCATGAAGCCAGCATCTGACCTAGTGCAGAGATCACAGACGGCGGCGTTGTCCTGGGTGGGATGCTGACGTTCCCACCGTCTGTGGAGGAGCCTCGAAGGCCGAGTCCAGTTGCCGGCACGGTCAGCACTAGAGCCGGTGGTGCCGGCGGTTCTGGTGCTGGGCTCAGCTCTGAGCCCTGCTGGGAAGCAGCCTAAGCTCCGCTTCGGACGGGGCGAGGACCACTTGACGCTGCCTCAGGAATCTTCTTCAACGTGAAGAAGTCTGCGATCGTGCTGAAAGATGACGTGGAAACCTCGGGGCCCCTCAGGGTTCCTGACTGAGTCAGACCTGCTCTCCGGCTGTCACGAGCCCTGAGGAAAGAGACCCCCTGCTGCTGGCCTCACAGGACCGAGGGGGGCCAGGCTCAGGCCTGGCGGCCGTGAGGGTCCCTCTGACCGGAGCACACCGCTCAGCACGCCTGGGCCGGAATGCACGAGGTGGGCGATGGCCCTGGTTTGGGGGACGAGCAGGGAAGGAAGGACCATTCTCAGGTTCACAGAGCACCTGAGGTGCCCGTCGCTCACTCGCCATCCCCTGTGGGCTAGGGCGACACCGGAGACCTAGTGAACCCACGAGACCTCAGCGTTCACCCACACGGAAGGAGGAGGGACGGACGAGGAGACCGACTCTGCCGTTGGACTCGGGCTCACAGAACCGTCCACCTGCCTGCAATCCGGGTGCTCGCCTACGGTGCTATCGGGTCGCACTGCACCGTGACCAGCAGCCGGTGATTAACACGGCCCCTTAGCAGGGACTGAAATACAGCCTGCTCCTGCCCGGGGACAGCCAGCTACAACCGCATCTGAGGACAAGAATCAGCCCAGATCGTATTTAAGTGCCAAGGACACGCGTCGCGGGATCAGCACCTGCTGGAGGGCGTCACCCCTGAGGCGTGAAGGTGGCTCATCTGTGACAGAGCCCCCTCCGCCTTCCCGCCACCCCCCGACTGGCGCTGTACCCGACGGGTGAAGCGGGTGCTGCCCCTTCCCCTCGACACTGCTCTGGGACCCGGGCTGCGCCCTCTGGCTGGCCGTGAGGTGCCACCCACACCGCCGGGGGTCGGGACACATGGGTCTTCCTGTCGCTGGGCAGAAGGTGCTCCGAGGTCTAGAACAATGCGCTCTGCCTGCCTGTCTGTCTGTCTGTCCCTCAGGCGACCCTCCCCACGTGAGTAGGCTCGTGCCGTGTGCCCTGAGAGCGGCCAAACCCCTGGGCTGTGACCACAGTCTGGCAGCACCAGCCCGCCCAGAGCCCGCGCCAGGCGACCTCTGTTCACGCACTGTCCCTGGGCTGCACCTGCCTGGGGCCCGAAGGCTCCGCCCACCTCTCAGGGCACCTGTGGGCACAGGGCCGGCCACTGGGCCACGTGTGAGGACAGGAGCCGGAGCACCTGCCCAGAAAGCCCAGCCCGAGGGCGCGGAGGAGGGAAACGAGCCTGTGGGCTGGGCTGAGCAGCACCCAGGACTGGAGAACCACCCTCCCTGCAGGTCGCCCAACAGACACAGAGCCCAGGAGAAGGTGGGCAGGGACAGGGGGCGGCAGGGACGGACGGCGGGAGGGACGGGCGGTGAGAAGGTACTAGCACAGCGACGACTTCAAAATGCCCCTTGGACGAGATGTCAGGATGACCGAGCAGGGGCCTTTCCCTGAAACGTCAGCACCCAGTTTGACTCGTCTCCAGACGGACGGCCGGCCCTCCAGGGAAACGTGCAGGAGGAAGACTGTCCAGGCCCAGCAGTGGTCAGTGCCCGCGGTGCCGGTCTGGACCTCCCTCCCCCGTGTAGTGCTGGCCTCCGACCTCACTGGGACCCCTCTCCGGCCTGCACAGGGCGCAGTCAGCAGGGGTGGCAGTGGGGTGCGCAAGGGGCACACGGGGACGGAAGGAGGCGTCGCGTGGGGCGAATGGTGTCTACGGAGCTGTGACCTTGGAACCTGCCTGGTTTTATGAGCCAATGTCACCCCCATAAACTCCATTTAAATCGTGAAAATTCCATGTTGGCAGGCACAGAGCCCGTGACGAAGGGCCGGCGTGGGCTCCCGGGGCCGCGGACAGAGGCCCCGCCTCCCCGAGGCTGCAGAGAGATGCTTAGAGGAAGCGGCCGGCCCTCCTACCGGTGACTGGACCAGGGACAGCCTCTGTCCCGGGGTTATTTTAAGACCGACTTGTTTTTCCCTAATAAGGATAATTATCTCCAAAAAATCAGAATGATGAAGTGGTCATGAAGTGCACACTCCAAACGCCCGCCGCGGAGCGAGCTGACCCGCACGGAGCCGGCCAGGCCTCTGGCTTGTGTCTGCAGCTCGGGGGCAGCGTCTGGGTGGAGACCCCGCGACCCCCACAGTCTCCCCGCCAGCGGTGGGGGCGTGGACCTCGTCACAGCGCTTCCCCCAACCAGCTCGGAGACCCGTGCTCAGACCTGTCTCTCTAACGAACATCGACAGCCGGACACGCCAAGTGTGACCCCAAGTTTCTCGGTGTTGCTGACCGGCTGTTCCCACAGCAAACACGACCGTCCTGGCCTTTAAACTACGTCTCCATCTAGAGCTCAGTGGACTGGCTTCCATGGACGACCTCCGTCCCCGCAGTCCCCTGGAGGACACGGAGGGGCTGCCTCCAGCGTGACCGTCACCGTGACCACTCCCGTGATCAGGAGGCTCAGAGGGACATGAATGAGCACGTCCATGTGTCTGTCCAAAGGCCAGACAGGGGGCGGTTTTGCATCATCGAAAACAAATTAAGTGCCCTGGACAGTTTGGCTCAGCAGTTAGAACATCAGCCTGCGGTCCAGAGAGACCCGGGTTCGGTTCCCGCTAAGGGCACGTACCCTGGTTGCAGTTTGTCCCCGGCCCTGGTTGGGTCGTGTGGGTGGCAGCCACTCGATGTGTCCCTTCACGTCGATGTTTCTCTCTCTCTCCCTCCCACTCTATCTGAACAAAAAATGAAAAAATGTCCTCGGGTGAGGATTAAAAAAATAATAAGTCTCTTGGACACTTAGAAACAGAGCAAAGGCGGTTAGACATTTACGTGACGGGAGCCGGACTCAGCGCCTCGGGCAGCTGGGCTGATTCCAGAGGCAGGTCGGAGGGACACACGCGGGGCCCCGCGTCCTTTGGGTGAAAGACCCGAGGGCGCAGGGGTGGGAGCCGCACCGCGGCCTGTTCTGAGCGAGAGGACGTCGCTTCCGTGTCTGAAATGTCGGGTCTCGGGGGTGTGTCTCTTCCAGCGTTGCCGCCACCATTGAAGCCAGCGTCTCTGTGCGGGGCACCTGCCCCCGCCCTGGGGCGACGGCCGCGCCAGCCGGGCCCGAGGACATGCCCCGGCCCACCAGGGGCAGCGCTGCTGGGACTTCTCACCCGGGAAGCTCCGGCCGTCCTGCCGCCCCCTCGTCCACTTACCCGGCAGCTGCCGGCCCTTGTAGAGGTCCTGCGCTTTGGTCGGGTGCGCCCTGGCGGTGTTGTCACATTTCGGCTGCTCATACCTGCGAGGGGGAGGGAAGACAGGTCAGGGGGTCAGGCTCCGAAAGGGTTCACTTCCATTTCTCGCCTGGTCGTAGGGCCGGACCCGCCCCCGCCCAGGGCACACACTGCGGCCCTGGGTCTCACAGGACAGAGATGGTCTTGGGCTGGACCTGCCCCCGCCCAGGGCACATACTGGGGCCCCAGGTCTCACAGGACAGCATGTCTTTGTGCCCTGAGCTCGTCCCCACGGTCGGCAGGAAGCAGTGTGTCAGGCTCTGCCTCCCCGTCCGGGCTCACACACCGGCCCCCGGCGGCAGCCCAAGGCTCTGTCGCCTCCGGGATCTGCCAGGTCGTGGACAGGGGTTCGGACGGGGCTGCACCACCCCAAGGGTCAGTGAGGCCGAGGGCGCGGCCGCGCGGCTACTAGGCTGAGTCTGGAATGTTGAAGCCGCCTGGACACGGGCCCTCGGGCAGCCACTCCGGGCGTCCCCCACGCGGGCTGGGGCTCCAGCCGGGACGCCGAGTCGGAAGGGTACGGTGGGCGGGCGGCGTCCTCCTCCGGAGCAGCTCCGGGACCAGCCCGTATGGCGGCTGGAGTCCCAGGAGAGAGTCAGGGCCCTCGGGCTGCAACGGGAGCTCAGACGCCCACCGCTGTTCTTTCCCACGGTGTTTACGTTCACTTGTTCGTATGAAGAGAAAACGAACATCTGGCCGTCCAGTGCCCATCGGATAGCAGGCTCTCTGCCCGGGGAAGGCGGGTCACGGTGCCCTGGACACATGTGCCCGCCGGGGAGGGAGAGCCCGGCGTCAGGAGCAGGGCTGGTCCAGGGAAGAGCAGCTTGCGCCGGACGGTGATCGAGGAAGCCCTGCCTCACCCTCAGGAGGGCGGAGGAGAAACTCCCGTTCTGGGAGCTCAGGCAGCAGCAGGGGCCACGCGCCACGCCCATCAGCAGCCACCACCACGGCGGCCAGGCTGCCACCTGCCCGACCCCCAGCGCCCACTGCCCCGCGCACGGCGTGGGCGCCCGCAGGTGCCCGCAGCACCTAGAACCACGGCCGAGATGCCAGCTGGAGACAAAGGTCAGGGGGACCAGGAGGTGCTGCAGGGCTGGTCCACCTCGGATTTCTCCCTGAACGAGGACCCCAGCAGCAATTCGGTGCCGGGGCGGCTGCTCTCTGCCTCACGCGGGCCAGCGGAGTTGGTCTTTTGTCCTTGGCACCAGCCTGCACCCAAATGTGTGCTTTTCAATGACCTTGCTTGGAGGCAGAAAGAGCTAGCTCACCGGGACGATTACCTTCATGTCTGTGGCTTCTGACTGGTGTTGGATGTCTTAAAAAATTATTTTGCCTCCTCAGAAATGTAAAATAGTGGATGATCAAGGAAGACAAAGCCTTGAACTTCTACCCAAATAAAAATCAGGAGTCTGAAGTGTCTCCCTGGAGCACATCTGAGGAGAGCGTAAGAAACTGCATCAGCGTGACCGTGACCCGGGGACCTGGCGGCCACCGCGGAGCCCGGGGCGTGAGCTGGTGACGTGGCCTGGCCCCTCGGTCAGCCCTGAGAGGTGACGACTTTGATCAGTCCCCAACGTCCTTGTTCCACGGAGAGCAGTTAAGACCAATTCCGTTTTCCCTCCCAGTGATGCGGTTACCACGGTTGTGCACTACAATTCCGGCCCCAAACACCTGAATTAAATCTGCGAAAGGGATTTTAGGGAAGGTGCTGGGCTCCCTGCGCCCCCTGAGCATGTGGTCCTTGCCCAATGCGCCTGGATCTCTGCGGCCACCTTGCGACCACGATGGAGTCGTCCGAGGACAAAGACGCACGGTGAGAACGTCGCAGTGGCGGTTTGGGGGCCTGTCCTCAGTGGCATCACCAAGGGGTAGTCTCCCCCTCGTTACGAATGCCCACTAGCCAGCTCATCACTGCGCGAAGCCTAAGACTCCCTGGTCAACACAGCACAGCGGTGATCAACACTGAACCAAGCCTGGCTCCGTGCAGGGCAGCCTTCACCCCTGCGTCTGGACGGCCCCCCCCCACACCCACCCACCACGAGCCCCTGGTCAGGGTGACCTTCTGGCCAGCTGGAGCGAGGGGAGTCCCCTGAGGGCCGAGGATGGCGGGGAGTCTTCCCTTGCTGTCAGACGGAAGCAAAACACGTGTCCTGGCTGACGACGCAGAAGCCGCAGCGCGGGCGGGTGACGCGAAGCCCGCGGGGCAGAGAACACAGACGGTTGGTTAACGTGAGGTCCTTGAGCTTGAAGCAATCTGAGCCTCCTGCTCTCTGCGGTGCGCCGGCTGGTGGACTTCGAGGCTGGACGCGTTTGCGGACTGGGTGCGTGGGAGGCAGCCGCCCTACCCCCGCCCACTCGCTCCCTGGCCTCCTGAGCGAAGGCGCAGCCCCCAGAAAGGACCCACCTGCTGTCCAGGGCTACGTGCGTGTCCCCAGTCCCGAGAACGGTGTCTGGGCATCGCTGACAACCAGCATTCGTGGTAACCAACAAACAAACGAAGGAGATTGTAACAGAGCAGGAGCGCAGGGGTCTCCTCCTCATTTAACGCTGCACCTCGAATCTCAGAGAAGAAACATACTCCATCCCGCAGGCACAGGGGACGGTGAGGACCGGTGGCCACAGCCGGCCTGGGCGGAGAGTCAGGCCAGAGGAAGAGAGGCGCGGTCATGTTTCTGGTCCGATCATAATATGAACCGGGCTCGGGAGGGACCCCGTCGTAAATGCTGAGCTCATCATTTTGCAGCCAGCTTGAGGAGTTCTGGTTTTGACAGCTTGAGGATTTTGTTGGCCGGCGTTAGCAAGACGTCTGCCAGAGACGCTTCCCCCTCCCAGAGGCGCAGCCCGGGCTGGGGAGCAAACGCCCCAACTTAAACACACAGTGAGCAGGCCAGTTATAAAATGTGCAGAAACCCTGCTTCCCAAGGCATCTGAGAGCACACGCTCCCTGTGCTCACGTGCGCGGAACCAAAACCTCTCACCCCGAGCCCGTGAAAGGCCCCCGTGCGGGGCTGGCTCAGAGCGGGCGCCCTGCAGGGACGGGCCCGGCCACAGCTCCGTGCTGGGCACCACGGCGCTGGGCGCACCACGAGCGGCGCGGAGGGCTCTCCGCCTGTCCCTGTGGCTGGGGTGGGGGTGCGCTGGCCACCGAGGCCCAGCTCCAACACGACCCTGATCCGCTGGTTTCCAGGGAAACCAGTTTCACTGAGAGCGGGATGCACGGCGGGCCGAGGAAGTGTTTGTCACCAACGTCTGGCTCCAGGTCACACGTGGCTGTGTGTCTTCATCTAAATGCCCAGTGGTCGCCCTGGAATAACTGGGGAATCACTCCGAAGGGGCGCAGAGGTCGGACCAGGCGCTCGGGTTGGTAAAGCTGAGGTATTCTGATGCAGTGGTGAGCTGTGTCCACACTTACAGAAGTCAGAGGGCAAGTCGCTGCAGAAACACCGGAACCCGCTGACGGCAGGTCAGGGGCAAGGCCAGTACACCAGGCGGGTGGCAGGTGCTCCGTGGAGACTCACCTGAGCAGGTGTGTCTGGGGCCCTGAAGGGGCTGCTCTCCCTGCTCTGAGCACGGACCCTTCTAAGGGGCAGCTGGGGGAGGCAGGTGTTTTAAGATCATGGCACCCGCCAGGGGAGTTCGGCTCCCTCTGCTTGGAAATGCTGGCTCCTTTGCAAACACCGGGGTCCCAGGTGCCCCCGACAGCAGAGCCTTTTCCAAACGTCCTCCGCTGTGCTGCTCCCCCCCGCCCCGGAGGCCCCCGAGAAGGCCGTACCTGGTGGAGGTGCCCGGAATGGGGCGCCCGGTGTCCACCAGGACACACCAGCAGTAGCCCGTGGACGGGTGGCACTGCACCGGCTTGTACAGGCCGCCGTGTGCGCACTCGGGGATCACCACGTTGTCGTTTCTGGGCTGCCGGGCCTCCTCCAGGGCCGACTGCTGCTCCTGGTCACACGAGGACACTACAGAGAGGAAGAGACAGTGTGAGCACGTGGTCAGCACAGCCCATGGAGCCTGAGGACACCTGGAAAGTCAGGGGAGTGGGCAGGCGGCGCGGGCCGGGGAAACAGAGGGGCAGCGAGGAGGGTCAGGAGCAGCGGGTGCTGTTCCTCTCTGTCACTGTGAGAGCTGCGTCCCCCAGCAGGTCTGATGCCCACCTGAATTTCCACCGTCGCAGGTGGGATGGCCCCGGGGTGGTCCGGAGTCAGGCAGGTTCCCGGCAGGCACATGGCCTGGTCCCAAGGAGTCCTGACCGGGCCCCTCCTGCCACATGCCTGCCACCCGCCCCCAGGGTCACATCCCCAGGAGGGGACTGAAGACTCCTGCTGTCCAGGCCCAACCCCCAGGCTCTGACTGAGGCTGAGCAGGAAGGGCTCCGTGTCTGAGGCCCCGAAGGGGTGGCACCCCAGCGGCGGTGTCTCTGAAACAGCCTCGGGGACTGGGAGTCACAGAAGAGGCATTCCTGCCCCGGTCTGTGCCCCGCTCTGTGCTCCGGACATTCGGAGGCACAGTCACGTAGGAACAAAATGACTTAAAACCCCAGGGCCATGTGTCCCCATGTGTAAAGGCCGATCTCAGTTTATGTTAATAATGTTTCTCTTTGTGTTCAGACAGGATCGAATACATCCACCCTCTGACCCAAAGGGCTAAACCGGGGACGTCCTCTAACAAATATGCTCTGGACTGCACCACCTTGGGGGACATGGCAACAGCACCCCGGAACCCGAGCGTCACCGACTTGCTTTCGGCAGCCGAGGGGAGCTCGGGCAGGTGCCTCTCTGCTCGGGTGCTGAAGCGTGTTCCCTGGGGGAAATCGGGCAGAACGAGCAGTCTCCCCAAACCCTCACCGACCAGCCAGGGAGCCGCTCAAGGACCTTGGATGGAGAATGCCGCTGACGGGCCGCCTCGCCCCTAAGAGGCCCCTGCCCGTCCTGAGCAATGCTGAGATGAGCAGCTGAGCCTCCACGTCCCTCCCCGACTCCCACCAAGAAGCCTCACCCGCAGCTCGTCACCCCACTCACCCCCGAACAGACAGCAGACACCTGGGCCCTGTTAAAATCCCAGCCAGAAAACCAGATTCAGAGAAACCGACTTCTGGAGCGGGGAGCGGGGCTGTGCACCCCAGACTGCCCCTCCCTCTCTATACAATACACAGGATATAACATGTTTCTACATAGTGTATAAAAGGCCCTGCGTTACACACATGTATGCATATGCACACGTGCACACACACACACACATACACTCTGCAGGTTCCCTTACAAATGAGCTGAGGACATAACTAATTGTTAACTACTGAAAACCACAGATAAAAAAGAAACTCTAAACTCAAAATCTGAAAAATCAAAGACAAATGAAGATAAAAGTTGGTTAAAAAACACGGTTTAAGTCAGTGGAGAAAAGGTTTTGTTCTGTTTTCTTTTGTTTGTTAATTCACTGTTCACCCGAATGTCACCAGCACTTACAGTTAAGACCAGGTGCCGGGACAGTCTGCTCATTTGGGTGCAGCCTCGGCGGCCGTGTGCTGTGCGGTTGGGCGTGTGTGTGTTTGCTTCTGTCCACCACAAGGCCTGTGACAACCCGGGCTCTCCAGAACCTGAGCCCCAGGCCTGACAGCCCCGTGAAGCCACCGTCTTGTCTGGTCCAGACGTGCCCAGTGGCTTTCACAGAGGCTGCCCGTCAGTGTCCAGGCCACACCTGAGCTCAACGAGGAAACTCCTGTGATTACAGCGAGGATCCAGATGAAGCCAGAGAGCTGAGGGACAGAGAGGATGTAGTTTCACAGGACAAGGATGTCTGTCTGAGTCCAGGCCTTAGCTTGCTCACAGGCCACATGCAAGCCTTTTTTAAACCTTTTTATTGCGATTGGTGCTGGACTAATGACCAGGTTATACTGCTTTCAATGTTGTCCCCAACTCTTACTCAAGGTGATGCTGAACCATAGGGGGTGAGACTCCTATGCACCTGGCTTATTTTTTTATTGAAACCAGTCCAAGGCAGCTGATAAGCACAAGGCCAGGGACGTGTGCAACAGTGCAGAATGACAATCAGTCCTAGAGGTGACAGTGAAACGGCCCATACCACCTGACATGGATGGCACAGGACAGCTACCATCTATTTGGTCTGCCAGGGGTGAGCACCGCACTGTATTGCCGAACACTGCTGTTTGACTTTTTAAACCATGTCATTTCTGTGGATGTCCCGAAAGGGCACAGGAACCAACCTGACCTTTCCGATTCTCTTACTTCCCACCTGTAGCCCACTGACCACAGCCTCCTGGAGGGGCGGACAGGCAAGTGGAAGCTAAATCATGTTGGTCCAGGCTGACATTTCGGGGGCTAATCTCAGAGCCCATCCCGGGGTCATTCACAGGTCACCGTGGGTGCTCAGGTCATTCTTGTGAAGGAAAGGGAAGGAAGGCAGGGTGTGGTTCAGGTGTCCTGCTCTCCACGGAGCGCTCCAGCCCCTCACACAGCCGCCTGGCGCCCAGTCGGTCTGCAGAGGACCAGGCAGGGGTGCTGTGGCCACGTGGATGCTCTCACCCTGCAGCTCAAAGGTGCTGATCTCCGAGCGCACCCAGACCACGGGGCCACCTCAGGACCCTGGGGAGCCACTGTCTGTGAGGCCTCTGTGTTTCCAACAAATCCCGTGGCTTTACTTTCCCAGCATCTGATTTGTTTGTAAGTGAAGAACCTTAAATAACAGAGTTCTGACTCTGACATAGCCCAACATAGGACTGGGCACTCGGTCTTCATCCACGCGGGCACTCTCCTGCACACGGATCGGTGCACACGGCAGCTGGGATGCGGGCCGCCCTGCACTGGGCATTGCTGCAGCTGGAGAGGGGCCCAGGCGGGCTCCTGCCCACACTCGCCTCGCCCGCACCGATGTCAGTGGCCCACGCGGTCCTCGGAACATCACCCAGCGTTGTCCAAGTTCTGTCGACTGTGTCCTCTAAGTTCTGTGCTTCCTGCTAAAGATTTCGCTCAGCAAACAGACACACAATGAAACCGGTCGCTGGGCCGTGCAGTTTTATGGAAGAAAAGAGACTTCACTCCCATGGGGACTTAGAACCTGGCAGGTGCTCAGGTGACAACGACCGCATTCCTTCTGAACTGCCAGGAATCACTGTAGATCACGGGCAGGGACCGAGGCACGCAGGGACTGAACGCTGTGAGAGGCGGCTGTGCCCGGCGGCGCGGAGCCCCCACCATCCCATGGGAAGGTGACGCAGACCGCAGGGCTCCCTCGGCCCCTCTCAGAGACAGTCCCAGCGAGCAGGATTTACGGCGTGATCATCCGGGCACAGACACTCCCATCTCGATCCAAGGACACACTGTGTCTACAGACATCGCCCTGGAAAGTCCACGCAAGGGCCCTTGGAGGGCGTTCGGCACGTTTGCAGACGCAGCACAGGCAACACGGGGTTAAGTCGACCGGCGCTCGGAGTTTGCTGAGAGGGCTGTCAAAGTCGAAGGTACGCCTGCCGGGTCCGAAGAAACGCCGGGTTTGTCTGCATGAGCGTCCTGGCTGCTGGCCAGCTCCGGTGACCTTTGCAGTTCAGTTTGGCAGGTCTGGCTCCTCGTGGGAACCGAGGCTCATTAGGAAATGCAATCTCGCGTCAGGAAGGGCCGTGATGGAGGAGAAGCTACCCCTGGACACAAGGCTGAGCGCCCTGGGAGCAGAGGCACAGAAGCAGGATTTGTGCGTCTGAAAGTCTCCCTGGCACCCTGTGAGGGTCCCCGCTCCCGGGAGTGACCCACGTTCTGTACCATGTCGGGCTCGGCCACACGACATGAGCAAAGGGAAGATTTCCTCGTGGGTGGGTCGCTGGGGCACAGACACCCCTGTTCCAAAAGCACGTGAACCACACGTACAGAAGAAGACAGATGAGGACCAAGGGACATCACAGTCCCATCCCCCCAACACTGGGCTCCCAGTCACTAAGGCACCTGGGACCACGACCCCAAAACCAACCCAGGGACACAAGTCTCAACGGAGCCTTAGAAAAAGACATGAAGATTTGAAACAAAAGTGGTAAGACTGTCCTTGATCACACACGACAGGGCCGTGTGGAAGGACACATCCGAAAGCGTCCAAAGCCGGGGAGCCAGTCGCCTGGGCACACGCTCTCATCAAAGCCCACGTCACTGTTCCTGATCGACACATCGACATCGAAATGAGTCTCAAAGCGTTTTTCCAGTAAGAATGAAGTGGGAATTGTACAAGACGAGCACACACTGGCCACGTGCTAACTGTTAACTCTTCCTTGTTGGTGCGTCTTACTGGGGACAGAGTCCCCGATTCCACATGCACGCCTGTGGGAGTCGGCCATCGGTTCCCAGAACGGTGCTGACGGAGCTATTAGTCTTTCTTACGGTTTCCCCACAGGACGTGGGGATCCACTCCCTCCACGCTGCATTGAACAGCGCGTCCTCACCCTGAAGTGTGGCGTGAAGTGTGGATCTGAGCACCTTGTGCCAGGCTGGCCTGTACACACCGGGTCAGCCTCGCCCATGGCCGCTGCGGGTCTTCAAGTTCCGGCTTCATTGGCTGAGGACGGTTTCACTGGGAGCCTCACTAAGACACTACAGCACAGCCGGTCTGTCCTGGCCTCACGGCACAACATCCAACGCAGAAGCATTGTCACAGCAGCGCCGTCTGTCACGTGAAACCCCTAGAGGCCTCTCCGTGCTCCGTGGTCCACTCTCGGCATCCTTGGAGGGAATCTTAGCGTCCTGCTTAAGTTTCCTCTGCTGGCCCCAAACCGGTCACCACCGGCCGGCCCACCTCATGCTGGGGAAGGCACCGCTCTGCCGTGCACGCTGGCGTTGGCTTACCCCGACGGCCTCGGCCGAGTCCCAGACCACTGCCACAGCGCCCACAGGGCTGGGAGACGCGTTCTTCCCTGACGACACCCTGGTCCCCGACACGCCCAGTGCAGGCCCTCCCCCCACTCAGG